CTGAACTCTGGGCCTGGGCGCTGTCCCTCAGCTCTTCAGTTCAAGGTTAGTGCTCTACCACTTGAGCCACAGCACCACTTCCAGCTTTTTTTTTTTTTTTTTTGCTTATGTGGTGCTAAGGAATCAAACCCAGGACCTCATGCATGCAAGGCAAGCGCTCTACCACTGGGTGACCTTTCCAGCCCATATGAGACTCTTATCTCTGATAAACTACCAAAAAAAGCCAGAAGTGGAGCTGTAGCTCAAGTAGCAGAGTACTATCCCTGAGCAAAAATACCTCACAGTCAGCACCCAGACCCTGAGTTCAAGCCCCAGGACTGGCACCAAAAACAAAATAAAACAAAACAAAAAAACAAAAAGAATGTGAACTCGTCCAAGAGATCAGAGGAAACATGTCTAGAAGTATAGACAGAGCTTATTTCTAAAGTATAAATAGGAATTAATTAGGAGGAATGTTCATAGGAAAGAACATATATAATGTCTATTGGGCAGAATGAGGTCTAGTTGAAAGTAAAAAGGCACAGGAAGCAAGGGAGAAATGTGCTCTGGAATAAAACTGATCATCTGAAGGAAGGCTAGATCATACAAAACCTTGTATACCACCTTATGGGTTCTTGGGCACAAAGATTGTTATTTGGTTTTATGCAAGGAGAGTAACAATTATTAGATCTATGTTTTGCACCATTTTTTTACAATTAAAGGGGATAGATACTTGTCCGGTTAAACTGCAATGGTTCCAAGGAAAGGTTATGTTAACTAGAACTAAGGTGGGAAAATACAAACAGAAAGATATAAGAGGAGTTTAATAGAAGAGAACTTTCTAGTGATAACATGAAGAGAAGAAAGACATGGAGTTGTCAGGAATGATTCTGATGTTTCTTTCCTCACCTTTCCTGAGCCTGTTCACAGTGACAATCACTGTGATAGATGTTTATGTCTAATTCCTAAATCATCCTATGAGGTTGGTATCCTTTGTCCAATCAACTTCACCAAACAAAGAAGAAGTAAGCCGGAAAGCAAGATTATATAATGGCTTCACATATAATTTCTCTTCTTAACCTAGCAAGGCATGCCTTAGAGACCATTTACTGAACTGGGCACCTGTAGTTCACACCTGTAATCCCAGCTACTCAGGAGGGAAGCTGAGATCTGAGGATTGTGGTTCAAAGCCAACCCCAGGCAGGAAATCTGTGAAGACTCGTTTCCAATTAACCACTAGAAAACTGGAAATGGTGCTATGGCTCAAATGGTAGAGTGCTAGCCTTGAGCACAAAGAGGCTCAGGGACAGTGCCTGGGCCCTGATTTCACGCCCCATGAGTAACAACAACAAGACTGTTTGCTGTATGCCTTAACTCCAGTATATCCCTCCACTCATATCTACCATACTAAAGCCCAACCTAATAGAATTCTGTGCAGACTTTGTCTATCTCCACACCACGTTAGTGCCCAATGCCCACTACAAAGCCATCGCTAAAGAATGAAAAGAAAAAGAAATATTAAAGCCAACTAGAACAGATGTTATATCCAATTACTTTTCTTCCATATTTATACAAACTGTTACCTCAGCCTAAAATTTCTTTCTTTTCCTCTGCCACCACCTTCATCCAATTAACCCCTAGCTAGTTCTTCAAGATCTAATTCAGATTGCACCTTTGCTGATAATCTTTCCCTGTTTCTTCCAATATGCAAAAGCAGCCTGCATACACTCCAGTACTTGCCACAGAATATTATAATTTTCTGGAAAGCAGTGTAGAGGTTCCTCCAAAGACTAAACATAGAGCTCCCCTATGACCCAGCAATCCCACTTCTGGGCATTTACCCAAATGACCACAAACAAGACCATACTAAAGCTACCAGCACAACCATGTTTATTGCAGTATTATTTACCATAGCTAAGATATGCAACCAACCCATATGCCCCTCAGTAGATGAATGGATCAAGAAAATGTAGCATATATATACACAATGGAATTCTATGCTTCCATCAGAAAGAATGACATCACCCCATTCATAAGGAAATGGAAAGACAGGAAAATTCAAATTAAGTGAAGTAAGCCAAACCAAAAGAAACATAGATTCCATGGTTTCCCTCATTTGTAATAATTAGTATATGTCTAGGATAATCCTAGTAGATGCACAAAATAGCTCAATAGCTAGGACATATGACTATATAAAATGATGCTAAGTGAAATCAACTCCAAGACATGAAAACAAGAGGTTTTTCTTGGTGGTTGTTATTTTTAATGTACTATGTAATTTCTTTTTTCTTTTGTGTTTTTTTCCCGATGGTTTATCCCCTGTTGTCACTATATTTGATTTTGGTGCCCTGGGTATTATATACACATTTATCTGAATTAGGGAAAGGAAGGGGAACAACAAAATGGTGAGACAAAGGACATAGGGAAAACCAAGGCAACAGTGATATTCACAAGACAATATGCTGGAAATTAATTGTACAACTGGGTAGGGGGAAACAAGGGGGAGGAAAGTAGGAGAAAAATAGGGAGATGGTAACAAGTTTGACAAGAAATGTACTCACTACCTTATGTATGTAACTGTAATATCACCTTAACAATAAAATTAAATTTTAAAAAATAAATAATTTTTAGCCGGGTGCCGGTGGCTCATGCCTATAATCCTAGTTACTCAGGAGGCTGAGATCTGAGGATCGTGATTCAAAGCCAGCCGGGGCAGGAAACTCCATGAGACTCATCTCCAATAAACCACCAGAAAACCAGAAGTGGCGCTTAGTTCAAGTGGTAGAGTGCTCACCTTGAGCTGAAGAGCACAGGGACAGGGCCCAAGCCCAGAGTTCAAGCCCCATGACCAAAAAAATAACTAACTAAATAAATAATTTTCTTAATTGTCTCCTTCCACATAAGGATGGGAGCTCTCCTAAAACAAGAACTGTTTTTTCATCTTCATTTCCCCTATTATAGATTATGGCATAGTAAATATTAAATGACCATCAGAATCATTAAATGAATGAATGGCCAACCCCTAATCGATCCATTAGTGATTATTAGTAGGTCATCCCATGGTCAAATGTAAACACATAGAAAAATATCTGCTAAATATATCTATAATGTTTTTTCTATAATGTGTTAAAGTTGTCTATATTGAACAGAGAGTAACTACACACTAGAACAACATCTTTAAATCAAAATAACATAATAAAACTGAGAAGTCAAGAAATTTCAACATCCTAACTTGGGAAGCCAAGGCCCTTTTTTTGATACTATAAGAACTGCCCTTCTATAAAGATAAGAAATGACTATTAGGAGAGATGAGGATGAATTTTCTTTTAAATCTATTGCACTCTTTGACTTTTGCCAAACATAAGATGATTTTAGAAGTTTCTCATTTAAGTTTTTCTAGATTTTCCTTACTATAAACACTGATAAGCCAGGCCCCCGGTGGCTCACACCTGTAATCCTAGCTACTTAGGAGGCTGAGATCTGAGGATCACAGTTCAAAGCCAGTCTGGGCAGGGAAGTCAGTGAGACTCATCTCCAATAAACCACCAGAAAACTGGAAGTGGCACTGTGGCTCAAGTGGTAGAGCACTCGCCTTGAGCTGAAGAGCTGAGGGACAGCACCCAAGCCCAGAGTTCAAGCCCCACTACCAAAAACAACAACAACAACAACAAACACTGATAAGCTATGGCAGTGGCAACAGGTAAGAATCAAGGAGGAAAAGACATTGAGGTAAAGGAAGAATCACAAAAAGTTATATTCAAAATTGAAATAACTCACGGTCTGTATAAGTATATTTTAACACATCATGAACTGTTTCTGGACTTGTATGAATATCCAGACTATCCAAAACAGCATCCACTTCATCAGTGGAAACTCGACCACCTTTCATTTTGGAAAAAATCTTCAAGGCATTCTGGAATGCTAAAACAAACAAACATACCATGAGAATCAAGAACTTTTCCTGATTTTGTGTCAACCAATACTTACGAAATAATCTTACACAGGCATGGGGGTTTTCAAAATGTCTAACGACAACAAAGCTTTTGCACAATTCTGGCCACATTTCTTTTTTTTTTTTTTGAGTCCGGTCATGGGGCCTGAACTCTGAGTGTGGGCGCTGTCCCTCAGCTCTTCAGCTCAAGGCTAGCACTCTACCACTTGAGCCACAGCACCACTTCTGGCTTTTTTCTTTTTGCTTATGTGGTGAATCAAACCCAGGGCCTCAGGCATTCAAAGCAAGCGCTCTACCACTGAGCCAACTTCCCAGCCCCTCTGGCCACATTTCTTACATAAATTCTAATTCTTGTCCTTATTGCTGCTAAAGTAATAGTAACCATCACTGGTATTTATTGAATACTGATCATTAGTTAAGCTCTGCACTATCTCATTTATTCTTCACAATAGAGTTATAAAGTAAAAAAGACATAAGCTAATATATCAATCTCACCCTAAAATTAACTATTATCCATATCATTCAAGTGTATACTTTTGAAGAATATTATTTATTTATTAACTTACTTATTTATTTATTGCTAGTCCTGGGCTTGAACTCAGGGCATGGGCCTGACCCTAAGCCTCTCTGTGCTCAAGGCTAGTAGTGCTCTACCATTGAGCCACAGCACCACTTCTGGCTTCCTCTGTTTATGTGGTACTGAGGAATAGAGCCCAGGGCTTCATGATTGCTAGGCAGGCACTGTACCAGTGAGCCACATTTCCAGCCCAGAATATCACTTACCTAGATCCTGAGAAACCATACTGGAAACACTATGCAAAGCTTTCAGGAAATTTGAAAGCTCCAACATTCCATTAACTGTAAAAATGGTTCAGAAACAGAAGGGAAAAAATTCCATCAGCAAAATAGGTCAGTGGACTCACCAAGAACATAAGTCAAAAACAGCAAGCTAAGCATGTAAATAGAATCCACTGATACTATATCTCTCCTTAAATAAGTACACATAACATTGTGCTATATTAAAACATTATTTACCAAAAACCCCCCATTTTTAATGTAAAATTTAATGGCAGAGAAAAAATAATGGCCACTGTTTTGTAAAAGATTTTTTTAAAGAAATCTATGTTGTACAAATAATGATTTAATCAGAAATTTTGTTTGACTTGAATAAAGACTTGAAAATCAGAGTGGTGTTTAGAATTATAAGTGAAAATACCATCTTTGATAACTAGAACTGAAAATCCTGACTCACAAGATCAACCCAAGCACAGAATCAGGGTTTACAAATCTCATTTTCTGAACAAACATAAATAAACATCTCAATTTTTCAATTTTCCTCAAGTTATGATTTTGGTTTTCTTTTGGGGGCTGTCCAGGTGTGGGGCCTGAACTCTGGGCCTGGGCGCTGTCCCTCAGCTTTTCAGCTCAAGGCTAGCGCTCTACCACTTGAGCCACAGCGCCACTTCCGGCTTTTTTCTTTTTGCTTATGTGGTGCTGAGGAATGGAACCCAGGGCCTCATGCATGCAAGGCAAGCACTCTACCACTGAGCCACCTTCCCAGCCCCAGATTTTAGTTTTCTTAAGAAATTTTTCATTTTAAGCAAATGAAGCTAACTTTGACAGGGTTTGCACCACTGATACTATCTATGTCAAGAATAAAATAAATCCACATTTTTATTAAATGTTATCTGAACAGACATATAACATGTAAATGCTTCTAGCTGTCAGCAGTCTTCTTCTATCTGAAGACAAAATGACAGTTTGTCAAGTTATCCATCTCCAAAGGTCTTCAGCATAACAACTTGAAATTGGGCTCGCCTTTATATCAAAAACATTGAAACATTTTCCATGTTAATCAATTTCTTTGACTTCTTTTCTGACTTCCTTGTGATTTGGGGGTTATGTAAAAAGAACTTTGCACCTTTTTTAATGTTACAGATAGAAACTATCACGAGAAATTAACACTATCTCATTACAATCATAACAGCATCATAGTCAAAAAGCAAGTAGTACTAGAACTAGTAGGCATCCAGAGGTTCCTCTACTTAAATACCCAAAGAAATACAGTTACTAACTTTTCTCTCCTTTAAAATGTTTTTCAATTCAGGCACTGGTGAATCAAGCCTGTATTTCTTTCTTTTTTTTCTTTTTTTTTTTTGGGGGGGGGGTCCGGTCGTGGGGCCTGAACTCTGGGCCTGGGCGCTGTCCCTCAGCTTTTCAGCTCAAGGCTAGCACTCTACCACTTGAGCATGCGCCACTTCCGTTTTTCTTTCTTTTTGCTTATGTGGTGCTGAGGAATTGAACTCAGGGCCTCAGGCATGCAAGGCAAGTGCTCTACCACTGAGCCCCCTTCCCAGCCCCTCAAGCCTGTATTTCTAACTATTCAGGAGAAGGTAATCCAGAGGATTGTGATTCAAAGCCAACCCACGCAGAAAAATTGATGTGACTCTGTATACAAAATAACTAGCAAGTCATGCTGAGTCAGGCATCAGTGGCTCATGCCTATAACCCTAGCTACTCAGGAGGCTGAGACCTAAGGATTGAAACCCAAAGCCAGCCTGTGCAGAAAAGATCCCATGAGATTCTTTATCTCCAATAAAAACCACTCAAAAATCAGAAGTGGCACTGTGGCTCAAGTGGTAGAGTGCTAGCCTTGAGCACAAAGAGACTCAGGGACAGCACCCAGGCCTGAGTGCAAGCCCCATAATAGACAAAGAGAAAAAAGAAGAAAAAAAAGAAGTCAGGCTGGTAGAATGCAAGCAAGCAAGCAAGCATGCCAGGTGAGCATAAATGCCTGAATTCAACCACTGGTACCAGAAAAGAAAAAAAAAAAAACATTTTAATACCAAGAATTCTGGATTTTACAGACATTTAGTTTCAATTTCCTTTCTTTTATCCAAGCTACAAAAGTAAATCAACATTTTCAAGTCATATGAATAAGGTCTTTCCAAACAAGTATAAGCTGGATACTTGCTAAACATTCTTGTATGGCATTAAAAGATAATGTGTGTGTTTTAAGAAAATCCAAGTCTGGAACTTTCTATATCGGTGAAAATTATTGTCAACGTCCTACTTGAGTCAGATATTACCACATTATTAAATAACATTATGTAACTAAACAATGATTTGTACAAGTCAATGATGAGAATATATTATAACCCAACCTAGTAGTCAATCTAATTGTATAACCCAAAGCTCAGTTTTTAATATCATTGCCAGAAACAATGTGCTTATAAATATAGGACAAAAATGATGCTTTGTTTAAAATTATAGGATTACATAATTTTCAATTAATCTCACAAATATAACTTAAATTCACGTTTTCAAGACCCTTAAACCAATAATGAAAACATAATACTTACCATCAATATCAATAGCCTTTAGTGCCCGTCGTATTTCTGAGTCATTCATGGAAACCTTTAAAGTGTTTAGGACCATTGGCAGATCATTCACGTAAATCTTACCACCTCGAACTTTACCAAAAATTTTGCAGGCTTTATGAATTGCTGTATACATATCACAAAACATTGAGTTAATGCAAAGGAATAACTGTTGCTACTACCCTCACCTGCTCATAAGAGAAAACAATAATCATTAAAAGAAGAAAGGGGAGTAAGTTTCTGTTTTCTAGACTGTCTACTTTAAAATCTATCTGATAATTTATTTTTTATGTCAGGAGCCAGTGAGAAAAGTCAGAAAAGTCATGCAGGGGTCACCCAGGAAAGACAACTTTTCCTACAACTAGGAAACCCTTCCTATCTGGTCTTTTAACACTCATTCTGCATCTCAGCCAAAACTCTTGGCAGTCACCTGCTTCTAAGAAGGAAAAAATTCCATTTCCCTAATTTCCAGAGCTATTTTAGAATAGATTCTTGAAAAACGTTTGGTGAAATGATTTTGTTTTAGTTCAATTACAATTACATTTTTATTTTCAGAAAAGATAAATAGTCATGTAAGGTGGCAGAGACAGGATGGCCATGAGTTCTAAGTCTTCATCCAGTTGGATGCTAAAGATACCTAATATGAAGACCATAGAGAAAAATCACTCCAAAATACAAAGTAGAAGAGCACATTATGGGGAAGTCAATGCCAAGAAGGAGTAGAAGGTGACATAAGCTCTGATATTAAGCTATCAAGGTCTATGTTCCCATGAAACCAGGGACTTGAATGCTTACTAGTTTATCCATTATTTACAATCTCAGCTTTAAAAAAATAAGCAAACATGTTGCTGTATAAGTGTGTCTGTGGATATTGTATTTTCCAATCCTACCAATACTATGAAGCAATGTATGAAACCTCAGCTTTTTTTTCCTCATGGCCAACAATATTTCCATAGTATTCATGTAATATTATTAAACTACTGGGATACCAGTAAACTACTGGGAGTAGAGGACTGCTGAAACATCACATAATCAAGAAACATTCCAGGAATTCTAGAACCTCTAAACCAGAAGTAAAGACACATTTCTATAATCTCAGCCAGCCTGGGCTACCTATTGAGAAATTCTATCAAAAGAAGGAAGGAAGAAAAGGAGAGAGGGAGGAACGGGGAGGGAGAGAGGAATTGATTCTAGAGCCTCCTATTACCATTTAAATCTTCTTTGACAGGTACTTCAGGTACTTCTTCATATAGTGTCATGTAGAGATTAGATGATTCCTTTCTCCTTTCAAAGAAATGGCCATGTTAGAAAGCAGCAAAGAAAATATTTTAAATCTTAATGAAAAATATTGGCAAACCTATCAATAACCTGAAGTTCATAAGAATCTTCTCCCAAAGAAATTTCAAGTGATAAGGAGTTCCATATTCTTCACTCCTGAATTCCTACTTTATTTTTTTAGACAATGCATCTGTATGGGGTAGAATCTATTCTAGTGAGTAAACAAGTGCCTACAATTTACCCCTTGTGGTCCGATTTCCCTACTCAATACAAGCTACAGCAATTCAAAGAAAGTTACTATAAGTTAAATAAAAAGATCTTGAAACAACCAAAGAAGTCCAGATTCTATCACCTTTCACTAAAATGTCTCAAATAAAATGATTCATCTGATACTATAATAGGTAAACAATTGAAATCATGTAAGAATTCGCAAAAAGCCGTGTGCCAGTGGCTCATGCCTGTACTCCTAGTCACTCAGAAGGAGACAGGCAGGACTGTGGTTAGAGGCCAGCTCTGGCAAAAGTTCTCAAGACCCCACACCTCAACCAATACCTAGACACAATCCTATGAACCTATCATCCTAGCTACTTAGAAAGCTAAGATCAAGAGGACTGTGGTTCTAGACCAGCCCAACCCCCACCCAAAAAAATGTTTGTGAAAGTCCTTCTCAAAAGAAAAATACTTGATGGGGTGGCATATGCAAGTCATCCCAGTTACAGCAGCCAGTATAAAATAGGATGAATGTGGTCCAAGCCAGCATGGTAGAGTAGGGAGAATCAAAGTATCAAACATAACCAGGGCAAAAGGGCTAGAGGCATGCTCCAAAATGTAGAGCCAGCCAGGTGCCTATGGCTCACATCTGTAATCCTAGCTACTCAGGAGGCTAAGAGCTGAGAATCATGGTTCAAAGCCAGCCCAAGCAGGAAAGCCTGTGAGACTCTTATCTCTAATTAAGAAGAGGTGGAGTAGAACTATGGCTCAAATGGTAGAGCACCAGCTTTGAACAAAAAGGCTAAGGGACAGTACCTAGGCCATGAGTTCAAGCTCCAGTACCAGTGCAAAGAAAAAATAAATAAAAAGTAGAGCACCTGCCTAGCAAGTGTAAAAACTCTGAGTTCAGATCCAGAAATGTCTTTTAAAAAATTCATGTAGAGGGCTGGGAAGTTGGCTCAGTGGTAAAGCGCTTGCCTTGCGTGCTTGAGGCCCTGGGTTCGATTACTCAGCACCCATAAGCCAAAAAACAATCCAGAAGTGGTGCTGTGGCTCAAGTGGTAGAGCGCTAGCCTTGAGCTGAAGAGCTGAGGGGCAGTGCCCAGACTCAGAGTTCAGGCCCACGACCGGACCCAAAATAAAAAAAAAAATTCATGTAGAACAAAATTGTTATACAGAAGTAGAACATGAGACCCAAAGTAGGAAGTAAACTTTACAAGTGAGCAAACTACTAGGTGAGATCAATTGGAAGCCAATTCCATGTAGAGTGTTCTTACCTCTCTACATAGTCCTTTCTATCTACATAGTCTCTTAATTCATACAAATAATTTGACATTCTGTAAGTAAAAGGGATAAATACCACTGGAGAAAATCCCAACTTTGGGCCCAATATTCACAGAACAGAATACAAAGATTTAAATACCAAGTACTTGTGGAAGATTTACGAGGAGGTAAGGAAGGCTTGGGAGCAACAAGCTGATCTGGCAATTTGCATGAAGTACTTTCTTTCCCGGTCATCTCCTTTGATGGCTTCAGAGGAGGAGGGGCAGTCTAGAGAAAAATGCAAGTATGCTTGTGCCTGAGATCACAGTGGGAATCCACCATCCTTGGACAGTAGTCATTCTTTGGGTCTTTACTTAGTTATTCATCTGATGAAACTGTTGTAATTAAACTACTTTTTTATACACTGAAATTTAAAATAAGCTATATACAATGTTCATTTGCAGCATCGTTTTTCTTAAATTGACAGCTAAGTATCATCTAATTAAAAACATGTCCCTTCATAATAATGAATTTTACAGAACAGGAAACATTTATAATAAAGCAAGAGATGATTCTGCACCCAGACTAGGCTATTGGTTCTAACAGCACATGCAAAATAATGTAGCAAAACATCACAGTTATTTAAATGATGCAGGTAATTTTGTTTTATTTGATTTGCTTATTTATTTTATTTATCCACTTAACATTGCATATATAAACATGATTCAAAAATGTACAAACAGCTAGGTAGAGAGAAAAGTACCACTTTAGAAAATGGTGACTCTACTTAGAGGTGTATTTATTTTTACATGGAACCTAGAGCCTTGAATTTTATAGACTCTACAGACTGTGGACAGAAAATTTTCAAGTAACTGAAGAATGTCAAGAATTGATATTGAAATCTCATGTAAAGCCAAAATCTTCAAAAAGCAATGCATTCAGCAAGAATAGGCTAGATTAAACAAACTCACCTCCAATTTAGGAATACGAAGTGCAACCTCTCTCTGTGTCCCAACTCCGAGCTATTAAAAAATAAAAAAGAGAAAGAAGGGTTACTATCCCTGATTAGTTATAAGCATATATTGAATTCATATATATACTAAATATATGGTCCAGGAAAATAACTCAAAAATTCATTTTAAGTGGTCCCAGATTTGTTCATGACAAAAGCAAATGCAAATTCCTCTTGAAAAAAAAATCTCTTAGAGGAAGAAAAAAACACTAGATTCCCACAAATGTAGATTAACAATATATGAAAGAATGAATAAAACATACAAAACACTCAGGGATACAAGTTAACATGGATAAGAACCATATAAAACTCCAAGTAAGATTTAGTCCATCTGCCCCACTCAGAGACTCCATATAATTAGTTTATCAGATATTGGTCTAGAAATGGAAAATGAGCAAAGAACATAAGTACTATAAGTCAGACATATATTTATATATTCATTGAAAATACTGAATGCTGAAATCCCATGTAAATCCCATTCAATTCATTAAACTCTCAATGGCTAGGTTAAAGTTGCAGATTAAATTTAGCTGAATAAATGAACTATAAAATGAGTTTAAAAATACCAAAACCGCCGTGCTCTAGTGGCTCATGCCTGTAATCCCAGCTACTCAGGAAGCTGAGATCTGAGGATCACGGTTCAAAGCCAGTCCAGGACAGGAAAGGCCTTAAGACTCTTATCTCCAATAAACCACCAGAAAACCAGAAGTGGTGCTGTAGCTCAAGTGGTAGAGTGCTAGCCTTGAGCTGAAGAGTTGAGGGACAGCTCCCAGGCCCAGAGTTCAAGCCCCATAACTGACATACATACATACATACATACATACATTTTTTAAAAAAATACCAAAACTAATATAAAGAGAGAAATGGATGAAGCAATGTTGCAGTGGGTAGTGTTCTCCAATAGCTTGACTCACAGGGCAGCACTACTGGGAAGCATTGGAACCTTTGAGAGGCAGAACCAAATGGGAGGTCCCTATGACACTGGGGAGTGACTTTGAAGAGGACTAGGAGATCCCTCATATCTTCTTGTCATGCTCGATACTTCTTGGCTCATAAAGCAGGAAGTTTGCTCTGCCATGTGCTCCTGCTATGACGTCCTGCCAAAAACTGGAGCCATTGATCTTGGACTGGAACCTCCAGAACTATGAGCCAAAATAAAGCTTTCCTCCTTATGAAGTAATTGCCCCAGGTATTTTATGGCAGAAGCTAATACAGAACAGAAAGTTCTGCTACACATCTAAAAGAAAAGAACAATAGAGATTGAGGGGGAAGAAATATTCTAAAAAATAATGTATCAAAATGTTCCACAGTTGAAGAAAGATATTTATTCTCAGATTCAGGAAGCACACAAATATTAATACAAGAGAAATTAAAACAAATATATACCAAACACCAAAATATATACCACTATATCACAGTGAATGTAGTAGATGGAATAGTGGATCCACTCCAATAATACCTACAACTAGGAAATGAAAACTGTTATTACAATCAAGTTAACAATCACAAGATAAGATACCCAAGGACAGATGTGTTTATAATAAGGAAAAATGTTGGCAGATAGCACAGTAGAATATATGTATGTGATGTATATGAATATATGTGGGAAAAGAGAGAAAAGAATGTAAATCTAAGAAAGAATTCCTCGTCCTTTTCATAGAAAAAGGAAAACCAGCCAGGTGAGATGGTATACTCCTAGGCACTCAGGAAGGCTGAGGAGAGGAGGATAATCTGAGTCTAGAAGTTTGGTGGCACCTTGGGCAACATAGAAAAATTGTGTGAAAGGAAGAAATACAGAAGGGAAGAAGGGAAGGAAGGAAGGAAGGAAGGAAGGAAGGAAGGAAGGAAGGAAGAAGGAAGGGAGGGAGGGAGGGAGGGAGAGAGGAGAGGGAGGGAGGGAGGGATGGACAGAAGATAGGTTTGAACAAAAATGTACACTAGATTTAGGGCACCGTCATCAAATACAGTGAAAATAGGTGTTATACCGTAGGGGAGGAACATACAAAACAAAAAACAAAAAAATCACATGGTACATTATAAATACTTTAGAAACAATAGCAAGAAAGAAAAAACCACTTGTGTCCTTATCTTGGGGTTCATTTTGCTTAACATCATCTTATGTGGTCAGATGTACATAGCTTTTCACCTTTTCTGCTTGTCCCAGACATATACTAATTATAACCCCTGTTTTCACTGTATTTGATGTTAGTGCCGTGCATCTTGTATATACACATCTCTAATTTGAGGAGGGGAAGGGAAAAAACACAATACTTAAATAGGATACAGGTTGATGCATTGTAACAATGAGATGTACAAGATACTATGTTGAAAACGAACTTTACAATTTAGGTGGGGGAGTTGTAGTTGTGGAGGTGGGAGGCAAGGGATGGTAGGGGAAAAACAAAGGAGGAGGCAACAATGCTTGATAGGAAATGTACTCATTACCTTGCTCATGTAACTGTAACCCCTCTGTACAGTATTTTTACAATTAAAAAAGTACTAAAATAAAAAAAAAATGTACACAAATGTTTTAAGATCTAAGCACAACATTTGAAGGAGAAAGGAAAATTTCTTAATCTTAATTTACCTCAGATTTTCTATTATGCAGGTGTACTTGTAAAATTTTCTTTTTCTTGACTGTTTTCCCTCCTGAAAAATCAGAGGATTTTTCTTCTCTACTTAGGAATACTGATGTTTCATACCTAAATGGCACAAAAATTTGAGTAATTCTTGAGTTTTCCTTGTTTTTTCTTTTCAACTCAATTATGAAAATTTTCAAATATATATAAAAGCAGACAGAATGATATTGTTTTATCTTTATTTACTCATCACTCAGCTTCACTAGTGACCAGTTTCATTCCACCTATATCTTTATCCCTATCCTTTATCATTTTGAGGCAAATCTCATAACCATATTTTTCATCTGTAAAGATTTTAATACACATCTCTAGAAGGCTTTTTTAAATATCTTAAATACCTCATGACACTTAAATAAATTAATAGGAATTTTAATTACCACCAGATACTTAATGTTCAAGTTTCCAGCTATCAAATGCCAGAAAATGTTTTGACATTTTGTACCAGATTCAATAACTTTTCCATAACACACTTGACTGGTTGGTCTTTTAAGTCACTTTTCATCTATATTGCTTCTCCTTCTATGTTATTATTATCAGGTTATCTGTACTATAGATTTTTCCAATGTGGGTTTTGTTGACAATTTCATCGTGGTTTTAAGATTCTAGCTGAGTCCTGGTGGCTCACGCCTATAATCCTAGCTACTCAGGAGGCTGAGATCTGAGGAACATGGTTCAAAGCCAGCCCAGGCAAGAAAGTCCGTAAGACCCCAGGCAAGAAAGTCCATGAAACTCTTATCTCCAATAAACCACTAGAAAACCAGAAGTGGTGCTATGGCTCAAGTGGTAGAGCATTTGCCTTGAGCTGAAGAGCTGAGGGACTGTGCTCAGGCCCAGAGTTCAAGCCCCACAACCGACAAAAAAAAAAAAAAATTCTAAAGAGTTGTCTGGTTAGTTAACCATTTTATATCCCTTACCCACTCACAGATATACCTATAGACATTGAGTCTCAAGCTTATTCAAGACTTTCACTGTATTACCGGACTTTTGATCTTTTATCTGTTTTAAAGTATAATTACATTTTTAAATTATAAACTGCTTCAAACATTTTATGGGATAGGAGTAGTTTTATACCAAAACTTATTATTTATTACATAAATCATGAATAAATAAAAACATACTTCCTTTATCTCATTCCTTTGCATCTCTCAGGATGCTAACCTATTTTGAACAATGCTAAAGAAAAAAGATGAGGAGAAATTTCCAATAATTCCAGTCTCCTTCTTAGATAACAAGCCATGAAACTGGTATTTATTTAGAAAAAAATGAGATAAATCCTGAATTCTTTCCAAAAACTTTTTTATCAATATTTTATATTTATCCTATGTATTAATGAAATGCTATAATTTCTTCTAAAACTTAAAAAATGGTAATCAGGCCATATAATTCATGGGGGAAAAAACCCTGACATGAGAATAAAATAACTGAATTTCATGGAAATCATAAACTCAAGCACAGATGGAAGAATCCTTCCATTCTCTTACTAAATTCTCTCTGAGACAAACTTATAGCCCTCCACAGTTGCCCTCCTCCAATTGGCATTTTTTAATAGTTTACAGACTTCCAGGGCTGTGACAGAATGAGACAAAGCATAAGAATGTCTATGTATGAGTTAAAACTCCACTCCTGAAAGAATGACCACAATATGGGTGATCCTATACACATTATACATGAAAATACATAAACTGCATTTGTGGCATACATGAAAAAGCACACTTTGATAAAGTAAGTTCAAGAAGATAATTGTACCAGTTGTGGGGTTTGAATTCAAGGCCTGGGCACTTTCCCTGAAGTCAAACTTAGTGCTCTACCACTTGTGCCACATCTCCACTTCTGGCTTTTTGATGGTTAATTGGAGATGAGAGTTTCAGAACTTTCCTTCCTTCCCAGTTGGCTTCAAACCATAATCCTTAATCTCAGCCTCCCAAATAGCTAGAATTACAACAAGCTTGAGCCACCAGCAACCAGCAAGTTCAGAATTTTTAACTTACCTTCTCTTATGATCTGGGCTCAAATCCGTAGTTCTTGAAGTTCTCTTCTCTATTATTCCAGAAATTGTGATGCATTTCTTGCTTTCATTACTTTTCGGTGCATTACTTTTAACTTCCTTGTTTGATGAGTCAATAGTTTCTTCTCTCTGCAAACCAAAAGCCAAGGTCATTCATGTTCTCTTTGCACATACACATTAAATGTAACATTCTAGCTGGGAGCTAGTGGCTCACACCTGTAATCCTAGCTACTCAGGAGGCTGAGATCTGAGGATCGTGGTTCAAAGCTAGCCAGGGCAGGAAAGTCTGTGAGACTCTTAATTAACCCAGAAAACCAAAAGTAAGACTATGGCTCAAAGTGGTAGAGAATTAGCTTTGAGCAAAATGAGCTCAGAGACAGTGACCAGACCAATTCAAGCCCCACAACTTACAAAAAAAAAAGGCATAGTTCATGAAAGTAAAAACTGATAGGCTAGGCTTTTTTATTAAAAACTTCTAATGGGGAAAGACACCATCAAGAGAATGAGAGGACAAATAATACATTGGTTGAAAATACTTGCAAAAATACATTTGATAAAGTACTATTACCTAAAGTATATAAAGAAATATTAAAATACAACAACAAGAAAAAGAACTACCCAACTTAAACTCATTTATTGTTTGGAATGCAAAATGGCAACAAAAAAATTCCACCATACACTACAGGAACTCTTTTCATCTTTTCATACAGAGCTGAGTAACTGAATAACAGTTAACATGTGTTACTCTCCTAAAAGACCTAGAAAGTCACCTCCATTATTAGACAGGTTCTTAAGAATTGTACTATGCTTTAAATTTGTTTAATGATTATGAATGTATGATAATGCAATATGTGATCAAGGAAAAATATTTAAAAACTATTTTGAAATAAATACCTTGCCAAAAGTATATGATTTTCTTTCCATCTTTCTGTTTAGAGGTAAATTCTGGCCTTCAGGACTGTAAGGTCATGAACAAGTACAAAAAGATTTCCTATTAAAAAAAGAAAAATAGAAAAATAATTTGTCTATTTAGAAGACTTAAGTTATTACATTTACCTACCTGAAGTTACCTCTTTAATGTCACCCTCAGAGTATAATACCTAATAAATGTGACCAACAGAGATCGATGGACAAAAGTTTAAAAAAAATCACAGAATATCACCTAGTCTCTTAAAGTTTGTCCCTTTCAGTATAAGTAGAAGTTAGGGCAATACATTTCAAATGATATAAAGAGGAAATAAATTCACATTTATATTTATTATATTTATTTATATGGTTTATATATTTATATGACTATAAATGTCTAAATAAGTATATTGATATTTATTTATATTTATTTTTCAAATAAACCCTGTAAAACAGAAGTCCTGAAACAACAATCCCATTGTTGAATGGGCTTATGTTATATTGTGCTAGATATTATGATAAACACTTTGACATGATTTATAAAAAGGGAGGATGAAGTCCTGACCCATGAGGAACTTACATTCTAATCAAAGATAGAAAAGTATAAAATATGTTGCATATAATCGAGTAAGTAATAAAGGGAAAAAGTAAATGTGAGGGGACTATGAAGTGTGGTACTAAGGAAGAAATTCAGCAAATTGAAAGAGTGGCCAAGAGCAGAGTGTAGTAATTCACACCTGTTATCCTAATTACTTGGAGATAGAGCAGAGGTAGAGGCAAGCGGATAGGGAGTCTAAGATCAGTCTAAGATCAGGGAAGCTCTAACTGAAATTTAAAAAAAAAAAAAAAGAAGGCTAGGGTGTGGTTCAGGTGCCTGAGTGGGTTGAGCCTCCAGTACAATGGAAGGCCTGGAGCAGAAGGGAGAGAAAAAGTGGGGAAAGGAGAGAGAAGATGAGGAGGAATGATTAACTGAGAGAGAAAGACTTTTGAATACAAACTTAAGGAAACTGAATTTGGGAGCCAGATAATCTGTTCCTGAGCACTACAACCAGAAACAAAGCAAGTACAAAAAGGCCCTGTGGCAAGGAGCCAGAATGTTCTAGAACACTGGGAAAGTACTTGAAGCTAAAGCAGTGGAAGCAAAGGAAAAGGAGAAAAGCAGATGGAAGAGCCTAAGGGAGCCAAGCAGATCATTGAACTCTGAAGGGGCGGGGTGTGTGGCAGAGTTCTGAGCAAGAGGTGACAGGATCTGAAATCCTTTCTGAATGGCCTCTGATTACTGTAGGAAGAAAACCAGGTGGGTCTACATTCCTGGATGCCCAGTGAAGAAAACACTTCCAAGAATAATAAACTATGGAAAATGCTACTGTAGAGTCAAGACAAGTCTGAATAACACTTTAGGTTTTGCATGTTGAAAGAAGCAATGTATGGTGAGGAGGCAATGTCCTTAAACAAGAGAGAATGGGAAAACAAAACAGCTCAGATTCTGCCAAGAAGAGAGAAACAAGATAGCAGCAAGTGGCGCTGTGGCTCAAGTGGTAGAGCGCTACCCTTGAGTGAAAAAGCTCAGGGACAGCGCCCAGGCCCTGAGTTCAAGCCCCACAACCCCCTCCCCCACCCACCCCACACACACAAAGCAGCTGTGGGGGAAATAAGAGTCATAAGGGTTTGAGAAGAAAACAAGGGGGAGAGTATCTTCACTGAAGACAGACTGCAGGACATGGCTTCACAAAACATATCTCCTCTTTTTGGCTTTCACTTCTCTCACAAGCGGATCCTCACTTTTTCCCTGGCAAATGTCCATTCACAGCAACTGCAGCCCACACTTCATTGTGTCCATTACCATTCATGACTGTTTAGACGCTAATGTCCCCCAGGTACCACATTTGCTTAACAAACACTGAGAGAGCCTCCACCTCACAGAGGCTCCCCCGGGCCCTGCCTTTGTGAGGCAATTTCTTTGGGACCTGGCAAGACCAAAACCAGTGCCCGGACAGGCCACACACTGAAGGAGCAGGGGCGTTTCCAAAACGCGGGGACCCTTCCTCCCTAAGGGACCCAGCAACCGTCCATCATTTCTCTCTGGGCTCCGATGACTGACCCATTCCTTTCTGGAACCTTCCCTCACCCAACTCTGTTACGACCTCCCAACTGGTCCTCACACCAGTCCTGTTGCCCCAGTCTCCAAGGCTTCCCTCGTCCTCATCAAGGTTCACGTCTGTCCCCGGAGGGGTCTAGGCCCACTGGGCAGTCCGGAGTGTTCCATTCTCCCTTCACGACCGTCGCGGAGAGCCGTACCTTAGCTCCGCCCTCATCCTAGGCTCCCGCGCTGTGAGGCTCCGCCCCCTAGATCATCTGACCGAGCCCGACGCTCCTCCCACTGAGCGCTCCTTGGGTGCCTCAGTCTTTCCCGCGGATGCAGCCCCCTATGAGCAGGCTTCCCAGCAGTGGGAAGCAGCTGACCTCCAGTGTGGGAGCGCTGAGGCCGCGCCCATCGCCCCACCTCACAAGGGCCTGTGACCTCACCCGCCCCTGGCACTGCAGGCCCTGCACACAACTGGGGGGCCTCTTGTCTTCACACGGTGCTCCCCATAACCCTGGCATGAATGTCGCCCTCAGTCCTACTGGCTCCCTGCTCTGTCCTGCCCTCACAGTCTGACCCCACTTCTGTTTTTTCCTTCTGTCCATCCTGTGAATGCCTCCGCCCTCCCTCAAAACGATATTTCAATCACTCCGTGATACTCATCCTTTAGTTCTTTTATTCCATTTGTCCCTAAATTAATTCAACCGTCTATGTTCAGCTATGTAAAAAAAAAAATTATAGAATGATTACATCAAGCCTACTACCAGTCATCTGCTCACTTATCTTTTTTAAGGGTTAGACATCTGAAAAGGACCACAGTTTTTAAAATGTACATTTACTCTACGCAAATGTGTACATTTACATATGCAACAGATTTTAGAACAGGATCCCTCCCATCTGCCTGAAATTTTGTACCATTTGAATCGTATGTTCCCTCTCAGTCACTAACAACCAACGTTCTATCGCCTACTCTTATGAATTTGACTTTGTCATATTTCATGTACAAATCAAACGCTGCAGTATTTTTCTTTCTGCTTTGTTTACTTAGCATAATGTCCACTCATTTTCTGCATGTTGTTGCGAATTGCAGAAGTTCTTTCTTTATTGAGGCTAAAATAACATTCTCTTACATACACGTTTACTTGATCCATTCCTTCATTGATGGTCACTTCAATTGGCTTCATATTTCGACCATTTGGAGTAGTGCAGTAAGACATGAGTGTCAATTGTCTTCCTGACACACTGATTTAAATTCCTTTAGAGATATACCTAGAAGTGGGATTGCTAGATCATTTACTAACCCCATTTTTCTTCATGAGGGGAGATCTCCATACTGTTTCCATAATGGCTGTATTAATTTATTAATATTGATCCTTTTTCTCTATATCCTCACAGTAGCTGTCATTTATCTTTTTGATAACAGGCATTCTTACTGATAGAAACAGATATCACACTTTCTTCATAATACCTGTTGTGTATGTCTTCTTTGGGAAAAATATGTTTTCAGATGCTTTGCCCAGTTTTTTGGTTAATTACTTTTATGTGTGTGCCACTCCTTGGGGCTTGAACTCAGGGTCTGGGCAATGTTCCTGAGGTGTTTTGTGCTCAAGGCTAGCATTCTACCACTTGAACCACACAGCTCCACTTCTGACTTTTGTGGCAATTAATTGGAGATAAGTCTTATGGATTTTCCTGCCCAGGCTGGCTTCAAATCATGTGATCCTTGAATCTAAGCTTCCTGAATAGCTAGGCATAAGCCACTGGCACCCAGCTGATTATTTCTTTACTTGCTAACAAGTTGTTTGGTTTTTTTTTAATATACTTTGCATATGAAGCCCTTGTTAGTTGTATACTTTACAAATCTTTTTTCTCACTCTGAGTTGTCTCTTTACTCTCCTGTTCCTTTTGCTGAGCAGAAGCTTTTCAGTTTAGTTCCAATCTATTTATGTACTTTCAAACTCACATCAAAAAAAAAGAAATGTTGTCCAGGCCAACACCATGGAACTTTTCTTATAGAAACTATAATTTCAAATTTTACATTTAAGCCCTTTATCCATTTTGAGTTGATTTTTTTGTATGTTGTTTTATGAAGGGTTCAATTTTATTCTTCTGCATGTAGATATTCAGTTTTCCCACTACCATTTATTGAAGAGATTTTCATTTTCCCATTGTGCATTCTTGACTTCTTTATGGAAAATCACTTGTCTTCTAATAAGCTTAAGGTCTTTGTCTTTCAATGGACATATCTCAAAGACGTATCTCAAAAAGATTTGTTGAAATAGCTATTATCTACTCAAAAATGTTTTGAGAGAGTTGTACTGCTGTCAGCTAGGACAAAAATCAAGAAAATATAAAAAGGAAAGAGTCCTTTGGGCCCCCACAGCTCTACATACAGAATGATATCTGAGAAATCTACTCAGGTACAAACACATGCTACCTTTTGAGAAGGGTGACACAGAAGGTAAAGTCAAGAGCCCAGAAGTTAGAATGAAAAGCCATGGAGAACTATTGCCAGGTTTCAAATGTGGCACTGCAAACCCATTGCCCAAGTGAATTTCAGAATTACTGTGGACCGATGACTTCTCTGTACCTCATTTTTTCCACTTTTCGTATATTTATAGCAGTTGCCCATCCAGTCTGGCCTACCATTTCATATTAATTGTTGAGGGAATGGAGCACAAAGACCTTGGAATTAGAGGTCTTTCTTATGTTACTATATACAAGGAATTACACCCAAGGAACTTAGCTGCACCTGCACCTATTTAGAGAATATAATTCTGAAATTTGAGTTGATGCTATAATGGGATAAGAAATTTGGGGCCATGGAAGGGGTGAGTTTATTTTGCATGTGAGAGAGCTATAAATAATTTGTGGCCAGAGGCTAGACAGTGGTAATTTTAAAATACCTCCAACAATACTTGCCATGTAAAACAAAAACAAACAAAAATCCCTTAAACTTAATGTCTTAAACAACACAATTTTATTATCTAACATTTCTGGTTATCATAACTCCGTAATAAAACTGAAGTCAAAGGACTGAAATCAAAGGCTGTAATTCTTCCAGTGTGTGTGTGTGTGTGTGTGTGTGTGTGTGTGTGTGTGTGTGTGTGTTTGGGGAGAAGGCAGGGGGATCAGGGAGCAGGAATCCCTTCCTATATTTTCCAACTTCTACAGGCTATATGCACCCTTTGATTTATGGCCAAATTACTCCAACCTACTTTCCTTATCACATTTCACACTCACTCACTCTTACTCTGACTATACTGGCCAGAGTAACTATATTGACCCTCCCAGATAAATCAGGATAATCTTTTTATGTCAAGATCATTGATGCCTTTAACAAAGTCCTGTATTGCATACCCACAGGTTAGAGGATTAGGATGTAGGTATCTTTGGGGAGTAATGATTCTGCCCAAAACATTCCTCCCTTCAAGAGGTAGCAACTATTCCCATCCTCTTAACTATTGGCTGGCTTTATTGGGCTACCTATAATGAATAGAATATGTCAGAAGTGATCATGTGATATAAGACTCAATCTTGGGGCTGGGAAGGTGGCCCAGTGGTAGAGTGCTTGCCTTGCATGCATGAGGCCCTGAGTTCGATTCCTCAGCACCACATAAGCAAAAAGAAAACAGCTGGAAGTGGCACTGTGGCTCAAGTGGTAGAGTGCTAGCCTTGAGCTGAAGAGCTGAGGGACAGCACCCAGGCCCAGAGTTCAGGCCCCACGACTGGACCCAAATAAAAAAAAAATGTCTCTATACCAACTAATAGACTCAAGGCAGTTTTCTTAAAAAGAAAGAAGGAAGGAAGGAAGGAATGAAGGGAAGAAGGAAGGAAGGAAGGGAGGAAGGAAGGAAGAAAAGCTCAAAACATTGTGGCTTCTCCCTTGGATACTTTGAAAGAAAGCAGCTGAAATGTCATGCCAACACTCAAATAGGCCTTGGATACATCCAAGGAGAGAGGAACGCCAACCTGGATGATGCTTTCTGCCAAAAGTCATGTGAGTAAACCACTTTGGAAAAACATCCTCCAGCTCCATTGAGCCTACAATTGACTGAAATCCTGGCCAACAGTTTGACCTCAGTCTCATAAGAAACTAAGCCAAAACCACCCAGCTAAATTCCTGAACTCCTAACCACAGAAGCTATACAATCATGTGAGCTGTTTTAAACTGCTAAATTGTGGGATGATTCATGCACTAACTGATAACTAATACAATCAGTCACCTGGATCACGTCTTCATTCATGATGGCTACTTAACTTTCAGAATACTTCTGGAATGGAATGCATTTTCATTCCAGCCTGAAGGAAGGAAGAAAAAGGCATGCCCCCTTGGTTAAAATGGCAATACTGCAAGTTGCAAGCAATTTTTTCCACTGCCTATGAGATAGCCATGGCACATCTAGCTGCAAGAGAAACTGGGAAGGAGAAAATAAATAATGGGGTACAATTACTGACCTCTGTTGCAATGGTGATTATAAAGGTCAAAAAAAAGCAACATCCACTGGACATCATCAGCATTTCTCTTTTTTCTCAACTAGTAATTTCCATTGGCCATCAAAGTAACCATTACACACCCATCACTCTGACCTCTCTAAAGAACTGTGCCAATTGCATGAGTCACTGGAAAACTCAACTAACATATTCAATAAAACACAATTAATTGTGGAATTGGTTTTCTTAACATAGTTCTTTTGGGGGGACAATGTGAAAGATTCATTTACAATGGACATTTTATCTAAAGGCTCTTACACTTTCTAAATGCTG